TCCTAACACTTACCTTAATTGAAGTCGGCTTTCTGCCGCGGCACCGTTTTAAAGCCCCCTTCTGTTGCCGCGCTGTTGTCGCGGTGGGGATGACGCGCAGTGAGGACGTCACTGCTTTAGCGCCGCGATTTTATCACCGCGATTTTGACCAGCGCGGTTTTGTCGTGCCACAGAGGGAAGGATCTAAGTTTTTGTTGCCATCTGTTTTGTTAATACTGTTCTTCTTAAATTGTATGACATGAGATTATAAGTGTATTGAACCTTGGGATACACTGAATATCTTCTTGTTTGTTTGTTTGTTTTAGTTGAAGGCCCATTTGTCACTATAATTGAACAGCCAAAACAGGTAAGGATTTTCTAAGGATGCTGGATTTCTCCCAACTATATAAATAGAAGGGAATATATGTAGTTCAGGGTTGAATTATGGGTTCGCAGCGTTGAGTTTATTTATTTGCAGATGTTTCATTTCCACACTAGGTAGAACAGGGATGGTGAACCTTTTTCTTATGGTGTGCCAAAATTGTCCATGCTCACACTATCACGCGTGCCCACACCAATTCAATCCCACCCATCCCCACGTATGCGCACATGACCTCTCCCCAGGCTCCAGAGGCTTTCCTGAAGCCTGGGGAGGCTGAAAACGGAAGGCCAAATATCAGCTGGTCAGCATGTGCATGCGCCCCAGAGCTGACTGCGGGTGTGCCAGCAAATATGGCTCCGCGTGCCACCTGTGACACTTGTTCCATAGGTTCACCGTCACAGAGTTAGAAATAGCCATAGACTTATATACCGCTTCAAAGTGCTTTTACAGCCCTCTCTAAGCGGTTTACAGAGTCAGCGTGTTGCCCCCAACAATCTGGATTTTTTTACCCACCTCGGAAGGGTGGAAGGCTGAGTCAACCTTGCGCCGGTGAGATTTGAACTGCTACACTGCAGTTAGCAGGCAGCTGAAATAGCCTGCAATGCCGCACTCTTAACCACTGCGCCACCTTGGCTCTTCAGTGTAGTTTTGTAATGCCTGCGAACAATCAAGCTCAGAGAGCATCAAGGAATACATCATTCCGGGTTTTTTTGTCTTTTAATGACCCCGTAATCCCTTACATCATGGTGGAGTTGAGGAAACTGAATGGAGCTGAGTATTTACTGGCCAGATGCCCTTCCCGTTGCCAATACAGAGTTTGCAGCAGATAATCACTCATTGTGCACAGAGAGAGAAATATCTGCTGCTACGTAGGGTTGAACTAACAGCCTCCCGATAGTGAGGCAAGAGCTCTACCTTTAAGCCACTGAACCACTCACTCTGTCATTCCCCATCTATATCCTATTATAAGCAAACTTTTTCCCTAGCAGTTTGGGTTTTTTTCTGATGGAATGACTTTGCTTGAATTTCCATTTTTGGCAGCGAGGTTTCCGCTTCCGTTATGGCTGTGAAGGGCCCTCGCATGGTGGACTACCTGGAGCATCTAGTGAGAAAGGGCACAAGACTTATCCCACTGTCAAGGTGAGTATCACATTCATTTATTTATCAAGTTTTATGAAGAAATGTTTTTTTTAAGAGTCATCTACATTGCCTTTTCTGTCTTTAGTAAAAGTTAAATAGCTTTTTTTTAGTAGTCTTATTGTTCGTACATATTTTGTTTGGACTTTCTGATTAATTAAGATACAGTACAGAATAGTGGTGGGTACCTACCAGTTTGGACCAGTTCAGCCGAACCGGTAGTGGTTTGGCAGC